TTCCATTCCGACCTGTGCGAACACCTGTCGAGAGGCTGGTTCTTATGAATTTCTCTCTCGGAGAACGATCCACGTATCGCTGTGCGATTTCCTCGGATAAATTCGTATAAGTTGCCTAACTTCGATTACCGTTTTACGATTATCCGTTATCCTTCGTTCTGGTCGTTGACGCGTAAACGCGGAGGCGTGTTCTTAGCTGGAGGTTTTATGACGGACTGTTAAAGGCACGGTACGCCGATACGGTTTACGATACGAACATGAATCGGCCCGGAGCGCCGGCTAGATTTTTCCGTGTACGTTCCTCCGTGCTACTTTCAATTTGCTCGTTTACGAGTCACGGGCAATTCTAATCGGAAGCTCGAGGATAAAGCTCGTTCGCGGATTACGACTGACGTGCTTTACGCTCGCACGACTTCGGGAACGTTGCCAATTAATTGGAGATCGCCGAGGTGTGAAGGAGCATAAGGGAAGATCTGCCGACGAGATGATTTGTCGCAGAGAGTATTAGAAATTAGAAGACTTCTTGGTCCCTTTGGGAAATGTTTCTCTCGATTTTTCGAAGTGCACCAAAGATACAGTGCGAGCAAAATTATCCAAGTGTCTATGGACGCTGATAGTAACGAAAGCGTTAAAACGATCGTAAAAAATGAACACAAAAGCTGTTAAATCTTCGAAGCACGAACTTCGTGTTTCGTTCTTCGAGGTAAAGCCAGACTTCCTTCGCGACAGAAACCCCCTCGTATTTCACGGCCACAGCTTAGCGTCTTCGCGATCAGACAGTGGTCTCCCTAGACGAAAGGGGAAACGGATCGAGCGAAGATTCTCGTCGGGAAGATTTCTTTGAGGGACGCAGTACATATCCGGAAGACTTCCGCCGGAATCTCCTGGATTTCAAAGCGACGCACGGTGTTTCAAAACAGCTGTCTAGATCATTGAGAACAAGTAGGATTCGTAGAGATTCTTCGTAAAATCGGAATACTCAAAACGAAGACTGAATTTAAAGTTTAGAATTTCGATACTTATATTTGAACAGCCTGAGTTTGAGTAGTTTCAATTTCATCGACTGAATTTCAAATTGGAATAGCCCATCCAAATTTGACTGGCTGTATCTGAAATTCCAATATTTTCAATTTGACTGGCTGAATTTAAGGAGATATGCAAAAAATCGAACACTCTTTTTGTCCTTCTCTTAAAATTTTGTACGTGTAGAATACTATAGTAGAATGGTTTTCTGCTTTGTTTTGAATATTTCGAATTTACAAAGAAGATAATTGAAAAAGGTCACAGTCTCTAATAATCCTACTTGCCCTCGATAATCTATTTACTCCCAGGATGAATTACAGTCACCCGCAGTCAGGCGGCTGTTTCAAAATACCGCGAAGACAGAAGATCCATTTGCACGCAGAAACTGATGCGACTGGGATACAAGCTAGTCGAGCTTCGCTTGAAACAACCGAAGACCACGGCAAAATGTATCAACGTAATCCTGCGAAGAGTGTTGTTTGGAAGTGGATATAAATGTATACTCTGTCAAAGCGATATAACGACTCGCAAATTAACGCATCAAGAGATCACTGTACTAATCACACCGAAACGGTGTCAAGTCTTTCAAATATTCTGCAATGGAAAAACCAATTCCAAGTTTCTAACGAACAGCCCTGACAATCGTTCGAGCTTTTTACTTCCCTCGAACTTCTGTTTCGATGTTTGAATTACGCGTACTTTAACGCCTGGCCGATTTTACAACCTCGCTATATCGCTTCCACCGACTATACACTTGGCGGAGAAAATATGACGAGATCGTAAAATCGATTAGGCGTTAAAGTTGGAAAATTTGAGCGTGTTGACAAGGGAATTTTCACTTAACCCTGTGAAAATAGCGATAAATACCGGCGTGATGTGTTTCATGAAAATTATGAAATTATAAAAATAATTTTCCGTATAATTTATTACAATCTACATACTCGTCATTCTTCAGTTAGTATCGTCGAGCAATCAATCAGATTAGGCTCGATGCTTCAATTTCCAACCGTACCACATTTCTTCCACCGACTGTACATCGTCTCTCGATCGAAACGCGAAGATGGAAATTCTATTTCGAACGATGTCGTGAGTGATTGCTCTTTTTGGCACTACCGCTGCGAATACCAACCTATATACCAGGTGTCTGTGCTTCCTTCTACGTGTCGTTCGACACGAACAAAAGAAACGAATGCGTTATCGTGAGCAGTCGCATTCGTCTATGCGCGTCATTCCTATAACAAAAGTGTCACGTGACTATCGATCAGGTGAAATTATGCTCGATAAGCTACTCTGTTTCGCAGATAACCTGCTCGATACACAATCACCCGCAATCTCTCTTATCAATTTTAACGATCGTTGACGAAAAACGTCTTAAAACACCCGTCTTAAAGATAAAACGGTGAAAGAACTTTGGAGTTAAAAGCGATAATTCCAACATTTATGTCTTAACAATATGAAAAATGAAAAGATAAGAATGTTCGCATATCAAGCAGTTTTCTCGTCCCGTATGAAATTCCCCTCCTCTTCGAAGCGTACTTAGTTGATGATACTGTACTACGTATCTCAGTCAGCCAGTATGACACAAACGTTTCGTTTAATGCAACGATTGTCGTATATCAAGTCACTGCGGAGTTTCGTTTAGTTAGGGAACTAGCTGGAAAAATTCTCGTGTATCTGAAATAACCAGTGACAGAGAGATCTCGTCGGCGAGTAACAAGTGAATCTAATCAACACCTTCGATTACTTCGTTAATTCTGTTTCCAGGGAAAAGGATCATTTCGAACGTGCGATCCGAGTTTCCAACTCGAATCTTCTTAGGAATTGTGAACGGTTCTCGCGAGAACACACGCTTATCGTAGCTCGCGACAGAGCGATCTCTTTCCCCTGGAAAATCGAAGGAAACCTCGAGGAACGTAAAAACGGGAGAATCATGAGTCGTTGGGCTGGTAAAAACGCAATGGTTACAGGCGCGTGTTCTGGAATCGGAGCTGCGATTACAGCCGAACTCTTGAGAAAAGGAGTGAACGTGATCGGGTTAGACGTTGACGAAAAGGTGATACAATGGCTCCTTCCGAAACAATCTGAGGCCATTTATTGCGGTGTGCGTTGCGACGTGAGCAACGAGACGGACTTGGAGAATGCTTTTGCCTGTGCGGAGAACATATGCAACGGAGGTGTAGATATTATGGTAAACAACGCCGGGGTTATCGAGTACACGCGCGTAATCGGTAAGATGCTGCTTGCAACGAAGAATACAGCTTGATCATTCTCCTTCGAACACTTTGCACGCGCGAATTCTTGTCGTTCACATTCTATTCGCATCCGTTGATAGTCTTTATCTAATTATTACGCAAGATATCGTTTCGCGGTTACAGTGTATGCACTATCTCTTGAACAAAGATTAGAGTATTCTTTTCCGAAGTGGTATATATCATTTATCTTGATATCGAGTGCAACGATTTGGTGATACCGGTAGGAAACGGCGCGATTGTGATTCAGAATTTAGCTGATTGAAACATATTTATCGATTGACGCAATTAACGCATTCTGGAATTTAATCTCTCCATCGAATGCATTAGTTCTTCGTGTCCTCGGCGCGGAGTAACGAGTGCAATCATCGTCGGGTTTCGTGTTATATAAGCCGACAGTATCACTTCCGGTGAACATCACTATGCGTGACTAGAATAGGAAGATGAACCTTCCATTTGTGTCGTGCACCGCAGTTGCAATAACTACTGAAAAAATTCCGTTCTCGCGTACTAACAGGTATATACGCTGTTGCACGGGGCGTAGAATAACAATTGTTTTTAATCTATAAAATTATGTAGTACCAGCTTCATCGAGGAATAGTAGTATTATGCAAAAATGCATACCTAATTAAGGAGTTAAAAATGTATACTCAACCTAAGCAAAACTGACTTTACTTTAACTCAGTTTCATCGAGGAATAATACATTGTGTCATTTCGTACCGCGTGAAAAAGTGTATACTCAACCTAAGCAAAACTGACTAAACTAAACTCTAACTCAGTTCCATCGAGGAATAATACATTTTCGTACGGCGTGAAAAAACGTACACCCAAGCTAAGCAAAACTAACCTGTCCCAAGCCAGGTTTGTCAAAGGTTCCGAATAAGTTTCGCAAACGAATTGTTGCAAGATTCAGCCTCCGCATGGTGGTCGGAAAAAGAACGCAACAGGGGGAGAAAAAGGGGGAGGCTAGCTTTATACGGGGTGTGTTACCGGCTGACACGGGCCGAGGATATTACGCCCGGAACCTCGTTTGCCTGCTCGTTGGCGCATTTTAAAAAATTCCATAAATTGCACTTGCAGAGAGCGAGAGGAAGGCATTCGAAAAGCTGTTAAATATTAATGTCCTCGCGACCGCCGAGTGCATCAAGCGGGCCGTGCAGTCGATGCTCAAGCGAAACGTCGAAGGGCATATTTTCAATATCAACAGGTATTGTTGCTCGCGAGCCACGTCTTGTCCGGTCGTTCGTTCGTTCGACCCTTTTCTCTCGTTGCATGTCCTTTTCCATCGTAGATCCGATCGTAGATCAAAATTCAAGAGTAGAATCTAAGTTCAATTTTTCTCACCGTTGATTCTTCCATCTTGTTCCAATCTTAGGGACGAGTACCGCGAGAATCTTCTTCGAGCGCAGGCAGCGGGGAACGTTGGCCGGATAATTGGCGGAAGCTTTGAAATTCCATTGGAGGTCGCGAGCGCGCGAGAAAAAAGGTAGCAGAGCTCTGGGGTAGAGACCGTGTTGTTTGAGAAAGCACTCGGAAATTTTACTTGTCCTCTTTTCGCGCTGGCTGACCAACGGATAGGGGGGGCGAAAAAGAAACGAGATGGAAAGGGACAGAGAGGGTGGGACGGGGGAAAAATAGGAGAGAAAAAAAGAGGATCGACGCTTTTAAGACCGAAACAAACGTTCCGGCTGTTTGCGCTCGAAGTCGATTCGAATAAAACGCGGTGCAAATGGGCGGCCACCGGGTGCGGCGGCCTGTTGAAGCAATTTTTTGTTTCGCTCTGCACAGCGTGCTGGGACACGAAATTCCGAGTGGATTCCCTTCGGAAATCGATGGCAGCAATGGCTGGAACCTGTACCCGACTTGCAAACACGGCACTGTTGCATTAACGCACACGGTGAGGCGAGAATTGGCCGCCATTAAAGCACCGATTCGGATCACCGTAAGTTCGCGCGACGTCGCGTGTCCCCCTCCATCGCTATAAAACCATTTTACGAGCCTTATAATTTCTCTCTCTCTCTCCCGTTTTGTCTCCCGTCGCTTCCGATTTCGCTCGTTTCACGTTGCAGAGCATCAGTCCGGGCCTCGTGAACACCCGCATAACTAAACACTCGCCGCATGTGTCAGCCGCCTTGAAGGATATTCCAGCGTTGGAACCGGAAGACATCGCCGAAGCTCTGATGTACGCGCTCAATACGCGATCGCAAGTACAAGTAAGAAGAATTTTCTAATTGAATCGCCCTGATCGAACCGAATTGATCGCTGGAAACGACCGTGGCACGAAAATCGCAACTGCAAGGGGTCACTTGATATTTGTACTGCGACGGGGAGAACGGTTTCGAGCGGTCAATTCGGTTCTGGACAGTTAATGGCACGATGTGTAGCAGCGTCGTTGATGAAATTGTAGATTTCTGAGATCACCGTTCAACGCAGAGGTGAAGCTTAACCTCCAACACGTTACTCGCTGGTTAGACGTGCACGTAAAATGTACATACAGAGTGTCTCGTTTGTAACGAGCATCTAAATTATTTCTGCTGTCGTTGAAGGTAGGAAAAAAAGGACTGAGAGTAGCTTATGTTTTGAGAATATGCATCTAGTAGTGATTGTAGCAATTTCTTTTAAGGTCATCTTGAAAATCACTCAAAAGTTATCAATTTTTTCTGCATATTAACGTCTATTTTTTACAAAATCAGTCCAACGACTTACAACATCGTGACTTTAAAGGGACGTCGAATAATGCAAAAACAAGCATAATGCAATATGCAGAAAAATGTCGATGACCTTGGAAGGACTTTTTCTTTAAAGGTCATCGACTTTTTCTGCATATTAACGTCTACTTTTTACAAAATCAGTTCAACGACTTACAACATCGTGATCTTAAGAGGACGTCGAATAATGCAAAAACAAGCATAATGCAATATACAAAAAAATGTCGATGACCTTGGAATCACCTCCGAGATAACCTTGAAAAGATTTTCTATTCATCACATATCCCCTTAGTCTTGTTATCTGCATTCGACACGAACGCGAGCAATTTCGATGGTTAATTACAATCGAGACACCCGGTACGTAACATCGCAGCACGTCCGCTTCTCTGTAATACTACTGTAACGCGCAGTGAGTACGATATTAACTGGACTATCAAAGGTGATTTCTGTACATGTACCGAATAAAATTCACTACGCAAGGCTTTCATCTTTTTCTCTTCCGGTTAATCGAACCGCGCGATTAATTCACAGATCCGCGCTACAGGTGTAATCGCGCGTAACGATTCGCGCCGTCCGTTTCATTTCCGCGGCGAGATTACGCGCTATTGATTACAAACTGCGAATCGACGGCACGCAGCCGTGGCATAATTACAGAGAGAGAGAGAGAGGGGGACCTGTACTCCTTAGGATTCAATGATCGACGCTATTATTGGGCTGCGTGACCGGACTTCGGTATTAATTCGAACCGCGAGCAACAGTTACTAACTACAAGTCTTCCCTCCCATCAGAGAGAGCCGCGATCACTACCCACCGTCTCTAATTAACCATAATCACCGTGAAACGCGTAGCGAGAACTTGCGGTGTCGCGTTCTCCCCGTTAAATATTCCACCAGAGAATATTTCTTGCGCTGATTAATCCACTGGACCGATATAATTTACGTAATGCGTTCGCTAATAGACCGCGGCTCGCGATTTCGTTAAATACACGCGCGGCGTACACCGGCGACAAATTCGATCGCAATTTATCGCACAACGACTCGAACGTCAAACGTCCGCGGCATTAATTGACCGATTCACTCGGGGGGGTGGTAGGACCGGTGAAAATTCAATTTCGAACCGGTGGATCAACCTGTTCGACGTTAGTTTTTCGACGAATCACCGCTTGTTTGTCGCGTTTTCGACAGAGGGCCCAGCCAACGTAATAACGTTGCCGCGAACGATAATCTATCGTATTAATAAATATCGCTACGGTTTCGAAGGCTCCGTAGCGTGTTTGTTAAAACGAATCAACGAGCCAACGTTCTGCAACCGTGTGTCGTAGCCTTTTTCGGCGGGGGGAGAATTGAAAATAACAAAAAAAAAAAAAAGAAATAGAGATAGGAGAGAAAGAGGGAAATTTTTACGACGACGAAAGAGTCGTAACACTCGACGAGGTTGTACGTCAAAGCGCGAGTGTACATTTGCCTGACGCTGCACTGGGTGGAACGTTTGCACGCAAACTTCCGACAGCCATGGCAAAAGCTCACATTGTGCACAGCTTTACTGTCACCCGAGGCATCTCGGTGCACGGGACAGTTAAGGTGTCAAACAACTTCCGACGAGCTTCGAGTAGTTCGGTGCTACGTGTGTACAGGATGCCCCCAAGTTCCTGCTTCCACTTTTCACGGTTAATAATCTTCCCTTGTTTCGCCCCGTTTCGCGCTCTGTCGCGATAAAAATCCACCTCGCTATGCAGTTCTTTTTCTGGTGGAACGGGGAACCCTTTCTCGCGGTCCTGCTTCTTCGGAAGTTGTTCAGATAGACTGAGAAAATAAATTTCGAATGTATAATTTTGACAATTCCTTTCTGTTATTGAAACGCCAAGTTTTGTGTATTTTTAAGTTGATTCGCGAACGTGATTTTTCCTTCTCAAGGTTTTCCGATGATCGGAAAATACTCTTTGCAGCAATTCTGAAATTTAGGAAGTAGTAATTCTTTTTGAATATTTACGAGTTTGGTAAGGGATGCAGCAATTTTGAGACGCCCTGTAGATTTCACGGCGCGTCCAAAAGCAACCGAATTCTTCAGCGTCGCGAAGAAACTAGACTTTGAATTTTTTAACGTTTCCATAGAATCGCGAATCGAGTTCGATTCTTCGCGGGAAATTTCATTCGCGACAGACTGCGAAATCTCGTCGAAATTCCTCTCCCTTTGAAAAAGTTCCATTTGTTTATCGAGCAAACGGGAATTCTTAAGTTGGAGCATCTTCAGCTCCGTCGTCTCTTTCTCGTATTTCACGGTGACGGAAATGGAAGAGGAACGGGTACGAAAATTTGCGAGAACACGGGGACACGAAGGGGCGATAAAAATGATCGATAAAGACGTACCGTCGTGTCCTGCGGCCGCCGCGGATCCGGCATTTAGGAATTTATATTAAAATATGTAAATTTATCGGTGCGGGCATATTTGAAAACAGATAAATTATGCCGGCCATGTATCGCGTTCCCGTGGTAAAATATATCGACGTCGGGACGCTAGAGCGGGCCGGAGGGCGCCAGCGGAACTCCAAGTTCCTCGCATAACGGCACGTTCTGTCGCCCGGCAGGAATACGATTTATGACGATCATTGTGTAACGATCATAAATTATCTTGTTATTTACGCGTTCGTCCAGCGTTGATTTTCTCCTCTGGACCGTTTTTTTTTTTTCATTTTTTCTCCTCT